TCAAAGATTTGTGATCGATATTTTGCAAAATGTTGGCTAGAAATTGTCTTTAAGGCTATTTCAAACCGATCTTTTTGTAAAAAAAATCGTTTTTTTTTATTAAAGAGCAATTTCCAAACGATTTTTAGCATATCGATGCACATATCGCTCATTTCTACATAATATTGAAAATATCTATTTCTGAAAAAACCAACTATTAGATAAATGATATATCTAGACTCAATGTTAATTTTTGTATTATGTTAGGGAGGTCCTGTACAAAGAATAACTATTCCCAAAGATCGTGATGGCAAGCCAAGAACATATGGATTTATCACATACAAACACATAGATTCTGTGGAATATGCTTTGCACCTATTTGATGGTACAATGCTGTACAATCGTACTCTTAATATGAAACTAAGGAATAATTCAGAGTCACAACAAACAGAACAATCTTCGAATCCTGTTCGCAATATGAATCATATGTTGGAACTGGGTCAGCAGATGGTCCTAGGAAATTATCCACCACAGACTAGTGGCGGCAGTGCAATGTTTGGTGTAAATATTTCACAAGATGTCCTATCATATTCAAAGCAATTAGATGTAAACTTTGGCAGTGACGATAGAAGAAGAAATCACCCTTATCAGAGAAATAGAGATAGAAAACAGGAGAGAGACAGAGATAGAAATCAAGAAAAAGATAGGAATAGAGACAGAAACAGAGATGCAGAGAGGGAGAAAGATAATGGAAGAAGCAGAGAACGAAATCATAATGATCATTACAGAGACGAAAGAGTATATTATAATCGAGATAATAATTATCGTTCCAATGATTACTTTCGATATAATGATAATAGGAAAAGATGGAGTTATCATTGATAACAATTAATTTATAATTAATTGCTGTTAAAATTAAACTTTCAGTTTTTTAAATTACACAGGAAATAAATGGACTTAATTGTTTTATATTTTTCTCCTTATTCTTTAATAATTACGTACATTGATATTTTGTTATCACTGATTATAATTTTCACAACTACTTATATAATTAAAATAGACATACATTGCATAT